ATTAACCAGCATAAATCATATGTGGAAAGTCCTTCAAGAGCAGTGGCGAAAAATAGACAAGATAACATTAAAAAAGCTGATTGATCGGATGCCTCGAGTGTGTGCTGCAGTTATAAAAGCGCGGGGAGGATATTTTGAAGAAAGCAAAATATGATGTAAAATATTTTTTCATTATTACATTTTTGTTTTCAAATTTTTTCTGAGAAAAATACGAAAAAATAAATTTCAAAATATTAAATTGTAAACGTTGATTCTTATTTCATTATTATATTTTCCAAAAAAAAAAGTTAAAATTGTTATAATAAATTATGAAATAATATTATCGAGAAATATTAAATTTTAATTTATTTTAATTGAAAAATTTTTATATCATATTATAATTACACTAAAATTCATTATAATTGCTGAAAAATCATTAAATTCTGAAAAAAAACCTTTTTTTTTATTTGACAATGACTTCATCAAAAAACATGTTTTTTTGGAATATTTTTTTTAAATGAAGTCCAAAGTTTTCAATGGTATAATAAAAATTAACAATATCTAACCCCTTTGTGCCCGTACATCGCGTCAAACTTCACAAAAAATTAATACAATTTTCTATGACTGTTTAGAGTGTAATTGTACATAGTTGCAAAATATATTAATTAAAAACAATTAAAGTACATAAAAGTAGAGATTTTAAGCTTCAAAATGAGCTAAAGCAGAAGCATTTTTGATCGTTTTTAAAGAAGTTATGACACTTTGAAGTTTCTAGGTGTACTGATACTTTTGAGCGGTACTGTAATTTTAACCCTTTTAGGATGAAAGGCTTGAAACTGAAATTTTTTTGCTTCATTTTAAAAAAGGTTTTTAGTGCAAACATTTTCATGACAATGCAAAGAAAATTCTGATACAAGGTTGACGTAAGGTTATATGCTTTCTGGATATTTATATAATTTGATAACTAATTAAAACAATCGTGGATGATTACCTAAATCCTATGGTCTTTTCTTAATTTTCAGCGGAATATAATACTCAGCAGCTGAGGGTTAAAGTTATACACAATGTTCTAATTGATTTCTCATTATGTAGTTAAATTTATAAGCATATATTCTCAAAATGTCACATTTCCTAATTTCATTAAAACATAATTACGTGCGACGGAGGCATTAAAGAATAAATTCTACAAGTGCGTAATCAAGTTGAATGAGTACGCTTGGAATAGAAGAGTTTTCTAGAATAAGCTCTACAATCATATTTAATCCAGACATTACTTGAAAAACATGCTTATTTGTGCTCACTTGTATCTGTGCGTTCTGTCGAGAAAAGCACCAAAAATAACAGATCCAACCATTCCTGCTATTACCATAATTGCTCCTAACCATCCAACATACGCTTCATCATCCTAAAAGAATGAAAAAGCATATTGTTAAATAACTTGCCAAGAAATATTCATAATTTCAGTACTTCAGCACTAAAAAAGGAAGGCATACCGCGGGAGAAACTTTTCATCGCAAATTCTCTTACAACGCTGGCGTAAGAAAGTAAGAGAATTTGCAGATTGAGTCGATTATCTCTAGAACTACTGGCCCGATTTGAATGAAATTTGAAATGTCCATACATTGATACAATACAAAACAAATAACCATTCAACAATTGTAATACACACGCATGATCGTGCATAACACTCGTTGAAGTCGGAAGGTATGAAATTGCTGTAGGACAATTCAGGCCATTTGCCATAGGAAATGATAAACTGCCTTATTTCAAGCATAAAATCAACCTACAAGGTCTGCATATCTGTAAGAGGGGGATCATACCCTCTTATTTACCCTTTTTTTATTCTGCAACCGCTGTTTCATACCCTCCGACTCCAACGAATGTTACGCATGATCATGCGTGTGTATTACAATTGTTGAATGGTTATTTGTTTTGTATTGTATCAATGTATGTAAATTTCATTAAAAATCAGTCCAGTTGCTCTAGAGATAATAATCTGCAAAACTTTTTAATTTCTTACGCCAGTGTTAATTTAAAATTTAAAGTATAGAAAAAGCGAGTTTAGACAAATCTAGAGCAAGCCACGAAGTTTAGAATTCTGTAAAGATATTTTTTTTAAATATCAAAATGCATACAAATTATTGGGAGAGAACTCCTCCATTGCGCAATCGTAAGTTATCTTCTCATAGTTTATTTTCATTAAGATAGTTCGAAAATTTCTTTACTGTGTTTGAAATATCGTGGCTAACTCTAGGTATTGCGCAAACCCACTTTTTCTATACTTCAAATTTTAAATTAATTTTGGAGGTGAGAGAGAATTTGCCTTGGAAAGTTTCTCCCGCTGTATGGCGTCCTCCTAAGGAGAAATACTACAGTAAAACTGTGCAAAGATGATGTTTAGTATCTTAGCGTAATTCGTTCGAATGTACACTCAGGAAGAATCATATTTTTAATATCGTTTAAAATTAGACCTTATTTTAACATTTGATAAAAAAAAATGTTTATTACTTTTACATACAATTTGATTTACATAATTAATCATGATTTGATTTACATAATTAATCATAATTTGATTTACATAATTGATCATAATTTGATTTACATAATTAATCATAATTTGATTTACATAATTAATCATAATTTGAATATTTCAGTTCTTCAAGAGAAACATTATTGTAAATTTTTTCCCATTGGCAAAATGGGTCTTGTTTTGGGTTTGATGGCGTGCGAACTTTATTTGGACGTCATCACACTTTTCAACTGTGTTCAAGAGTAATCGAAAACAGGGCGCACGCGTCGTCATCGCATGCGTTGCTACGGCGACCGCTGCTGTTTGAAATTTTTTTTAGAATTCTTCTTTTTTCCTTTTTTTTTCACCAGCAGCCATTCTTAATGTATTTACATAATAATAATTTAAAGTATTTTTATATTCCTTTTAATATTAACCAATAATTACTGTGTTGACGGTGATTTCAATATAAATATGAATACTGAAGAAAGAAAAGTATTTTGTGACGTCTTGAAACGCGTACATAGGCAGGATATGAAAACCAATCCGATGACTAACATCAATTGAGACAGTTTTTGCAATCCATGATTTAAAATGTTGTGGCGTTAATCGCTATCAAACCACAAAAAAAACATTTGACCAATGGGTAGCCAGTGATCGTAATAAAACGATAAAAAAAAAATTTATTTTTTTGCAGACAAATTTAAATTAAAACAATGTCATCCGCATTTTTTTTTCCTTTTTTAAAAAAAATATCTTTTTATTTCTATTGCAAAATTCTTCAGCTTTCGCATCTAAGAAAACTTGTTCAGTAAATAATTCGGAAATCATTTAAATGGTAAAAAATTCACTGTTCTTGAAATTAAAACTTGTATTCTGCAGTACAATTGAAAGCGACAAAAATAATATAAATTGAGATTTTTATATATATGGCATCTTTACATGGTAAGTTACATTTTACAAAAAAATCAAAGAGAAATTTTGTTTTGTCACTTTTTTGAAAGTCTATTTTAGCATTAGCAATCGAAGGAGAAAAGATGCGAAGCCAATTTTCTCGGAATCAATCGTGAAGCACTTACGTTGTTTTTCAATTATACGTCATATGCACGTGATCCACGATTTCTTTTACAAAAAAAATACTTTTTTTAGAAAAAACAACTTAATATTTTCCATTGTGTTTTCTTCAACAAACTCACTATTCGATCATTAAACAGCATATAGTCAAACAGCAGTAGTGGGTGGTTCTTGCCAGATTATTCACATTGAAATTCATAATACATTGCTTAAGATTATAAATTCTCGGTAGAAATTTAAAGCAGTCAATATTTGACTTAAGTTATGCTGCTTTAAACAGGTGGATTCTAAATTGACACAAAAGTTCGTTTAAAGAAATATTAGTATAAGTTTCAGAAAAAATAGTTCTTGTATAATTTTTGTTTCTTGTAGGTCAAGAAAAAAATTATATTAACTTCTTTAAAATATAGAATTGAAATAAATAAATTTAATTTTTTTATTTAGATTGATTTATTTAAATTTAATTATTCAAGAAATTTATTTAAATTGTTATAATTATTGTTTACATACTTAGAAATGAAATTAATAAATGTAATTTTTTTATATAATATTTCTTGTTTTCCTTGAATAAAAATATGTGTCTCTTGCTTTTTATTTCGTGTTTTGTTTATTAACTACATTCTTCTTTAACAGTTGGTAATTTTTATATTCATAATAATAACCTGATAACTTAAATGCTGAAGAATACATTAAAGTTTTATTTCGAAACATTTTTGTTTCTGCCTTTCTGCCCATCAACCGCTGTAATTGCTCCTCATTGTTCACTGTTCTCCCCCACAAAATTAATAAAAAAGATAATTTTATTTAAATATATATATTATAACTTTATGAAGGCAAATTTGGTTAATATGTTTATCGTAACGAAATAAGCGAATACCTAGATTAAAAAAATAATCAAATGTATGAAGAAAAAAATAAAATGAAAATAATAAAAATAATAAAATATATGAAAAATAATAAAATGCTGGTCAGATTTCAACTCTGTAGTTACGTTTCTTTGGATAGCAGAGCGGCCCGCATGATGTTTTTTACTAGACTATAAATAGTTTATTAATTTTAGAACTTATAATAAAACGTTAATTTTTTAAAATTTTAATCGTATTATTCTTTTTTCTACAAACTATCGTAATTTCAAGTTTCTAAGTCCTATAAATTTTGAGCAACAAACTAAACTGTAACGTGAAGCAAAAAATGTATGAAAAAAACCATCGAAAAAAGCATTTACTTGTAATAAATTTCGGGTAAATTGGACACGATCGGAAGTAGTCCATAATAAAAATGAACTTTTCATTACTTCAAAATAAGATTAAGCCGTGACATTCCTGTGACCTGCAGAGTGGCCTACACATTATTTTTGACTACAACTTTAAAAATTCACAATTCTGGAAGAAATTATCAAGTGTTAAACGTGTTTCCTCCATCGAATTTGCGGTATATTTTTTGCTGTATACCTCGCAATATGAAACTTTTAGTTTTTGCGCGCAACACAAAATGTAACACATATACTATATTTTAATATAGAGAGACGATAAATACTAACTTACTGGAAAATGTATCAGCACCATTTCATTCAGCAATGTAGACATCGCAAAATAGGTACCAACAATCAATCCTAATAAATAAGGAAAAAATACTTAAATTTTTTTTAATAAAAGTAAAATAACCGCATTTTTGAGCAATATTTTTTATTATTTTTGTAAACTTGTCTGTTGCTTACTGTACTTTTAATGCTGTTATTAAAATGTTTTAATTATAATAATTAATTTAATTACAATTTATTAATTTTAATTATAGTAATCAATTTTAATTATAATAATTAATTTTAATTACAATAATTAATTATTATTATAATTAATTTTAATTATAATGATTATTTTAATTTTTATTTTAATCTTTATTTTATATTTAATTTTTAATCTGCATAATTAAACTTCTTATTTTTGACGAATTATTTTACTTTTTAAACATATATAACTTACTCTATGTATGACATTTAACAAAAAGTCCTTTATGTATATTTATCCAATATTATATTTATGCTATATTTATATAGATTATTTATCCAATATATTTATCCAGTTGGAAAATATTATATTTATCCAGTATTCCAGAAATTATTGTCATTGAGTGCCACACCATAAATCACATTCTCCTTTATCTTTTTTTTCTCATTTGTTTACTAAGTGTACTATTGATTAACTGATCGGATCTTTCGTCAATAAACTGTTACAGAGTCACGATGACTCAGGGGATAGAGCGTTTTCCTTCCAATGAGTTGAACCGGGTTCGAATCCCAGCGATGGCTTGTCGATACGAATTCCGCATCCTCAGTGGTTGACGGATCATAGGTTCGAGTCCCTTGCCGCCAAGCTAACCGTGGGAGGTTTTTGCGGTTTCCCTCACCATGTAGCGCAAATGCGGGTTAGTTCCATCAAAAAGTCCTCCACTACGGCAGAGTTGTCCGAATTCTTGATTCAGGAGCTCCCTTGTCTTCTGGATTAGGTTCAAAATTACAAGTCTGAGGTGTTGAATATTAGTAGTCGTAAACCCAAATTTGGGTCGGCTGTTCAATGACTGTTATAAAATAAAATAAAATAGAATAAAATAAACTGATATAGAAATTGCTCATTATCTTATTTACTCAAGCATTTTAAACGATTCTCGAATTCCTTGATTCACATCTTATCTTTGATCATTTTTCTCTTTATTCCACTGCTATATCAATCATATTATCGTTTTCATTCAATAAATACATACAATTTTTAAATGCCTATTGACTAACTCAACAAAGTTTGTAAAAAAAATCTTAAGGAAATAACCACTTAAATGAAATACAAATCGAGAAAAATTATCATGGAAATAGAATATTATTTTGTTTGAAAGAATCCTCCTCCTTTGACTAAGATGCCAATTTCTATTTCAAAATCTAACAAAAGACTAAACATGTTTTAAATTTTTTCGAGAAAAAGTAAATAATGCAGTTAAAAAATTCCAGTTTAACAATATTTCAACAAGAGATTTTCTGTTTATTTATTTAAACCTGACAAATGAATTAAATGACTTTCTGCAAAATAATTTAAAGTTTCACTTTGAAGACTTTTGGTTATTAATGATCGATAATAAAAGTTCTCGATAAGAAAAGAAAGAAGTTACAAATTTTGTGAAAATCCACTGAAAATTTGATTTTAATGGCTCTCATTAATTAAATAACCCGATTATAAAAATATCACTCTAAAAATTTTTATTATTTAATTAACTTTCCTTCAAAATTTGACTATATCCAATTAAAGATACCATTTATAAAAGTTTTCCTTAAGAAATATAAATTATTTTCTAGTCATTATTTCAAATAGTGATTTTGATTGCACTCCTAGTTAAGGATCCCTGTTATAAAAATTGAAAATGTCAATGATTCGATTATAAAAAATCTCGTTGTGTCAATTATTTTCTAATTTTTCTTTCAAGGTGTGACTTTGATTGATCTCGCTAATTAAAGATCACAATTATACAAATTCTTGTTAATAAAGTTAACGATTTACTGCCATTTAAAACCTGATNATGCAATAGTGTTAAACAAATGTGAAATATGCAAATTTGTTTTACACGTCATGTGACTTTGCAGTTATAAAAGTGAGGCGCCTTGTCTGAGCTGTCAGTGTTCTGAGTCGACAATGTCTGTTACCATGCAAGACCGTGCTTTACTCGTGAAATGTTACTATGAATGCGACAGCAATGAACGGAGTGCTTTACAAAAGTTCCGTACTGTAAGAGGAAAACGCCGACGTCCAATGACACAGCAAGATTTACGGTAAAAGCCGTGTAAAACAAATTTACATATTTCACATTTGTTTAACACTATTGCATACAGCTCTCCGCTGCTGGTGAATTTTTGAACAACTTTTTTTTTTTTTTTTGTTGCGGGAGCTAAAATCCCATGACCTCTTATAGACATTTACCAAGTTTGATGACATTTGGTCGGGTAGTTTTATTTTTATAGCCATTTCAAAGTGGAACTTTAATTATAAAGACCCTGTACATAGAACTTCATAGCTTTGACATTTACAAAAACATATATGCAAGACCATTTAAACAAAATAGAATATTTTATATATTACCATATGCACAAAGAAGAAATACAAAGTTAAAGTTCGTAATGAGTGCTTTCAAAGCTTGCAAATAGCCGTCTGGTGGTTCTTTCCCAGCTTGAGCTATACTTGGGAATTTTTTTGGAGCAGCTTCGAAAACTAAAATAAATGAAATTTTGAAAAGTGTTAAAAAGCAATCTATATGAACTACAGGGTGTACTGAAATTCAGGCGAATAATTAAAAAGGGTTAATTTCGTTGAAATGGTTAATTTCGTGAAAAACGTCTACCGTCTCTGAATCTGGAAATCAGTTGAGGTTTGTCCGAACCTAAATCTAGTTAATTTGACCTTTATTTCAATGGGATTTAATATGGTAAAGTGTGACTTTTTCCAGTGGTGTCATTTTAAACTACAAGTTTATACGACATCTGCGGATATACCTGTAAACCTTAGGACTGTCATCGCTTCAACTGACATCAATCTTCGGAAATTACTTTTTGCTTGCCATCGAGGCTATGCAATGTTTTTTAAATGCAACCTTTATTTGGCTATGCGTTACTATGCAATACTATTACAGTTTTTAAAAAAAATTCTATCTTTTAGGGCACCTGTAAACGTTCTACGGAGCTCTAGGAATATTTCGGAAAAACTTTTGGATACGAATATTTTAAACACAGCTCATTTAGTATTTTGCAATTCCTTAAAGTTTAATCGTGTTGCAATTTGAAATATTTAAAAAACAAAACTTCTAAAAATTGTTATTAAACATTTGAAAATCTTCCGAAAAGGCATTGTAATTGTTGCGAACGTGCATCATATAAAAAATATACAGATACCTGATAATCCTCAGTCGTTTCAAAAATAATTAATAAGGAAAAATTAGCCAGGTTTCTATCGCTTTAAAGTAGACGTGTATGAAGATAACAGAACTGATTTGAAAAAGAAAAATTAATAATTTTTCACTTCAAAAAAAAACAACAGTAAGTTAAAATAAAAGTATAAAAAATATAGAGAAGGTTACTGCCAAGCACCGACTACATAATGAATGTGCTGTTTTCCAGGCTGAACTTTTGTGTATAAACCTGGTTGTTAAGTGGATACAAAATTCTTTTAGTGAAAACTAAATTTTTAAATATCTCATTTGTACAGATTCTCTTTCTTCACTTTTTCTTTTGCGTGACACTACTTCTACTGAGAAGCTTGTGGTGGAAATTCACTCGATTTTGAACGCTCTTGAAAACGTAACTATTCATTTTTCTTACGTTCGTGGCCATAGCGGTATTTTGGGCAATGAAAGAGCAGACCAATTGACTAGGGAAGCTACGTGTGGTGAAATAGACTTAAGGGTGTCTGTTCCAGCTTCTCACTGGAAGCGCATCGCTGGAGATAAAATCATTGCGGACTGGAATGCTGAATTTCTTGCTTCGCCTCGGTCGCTCTGGACGAAAAGGTTCTTTCCATCCATTTTTCACCGTTTGCAATGTAAATTCTTTGCAACTGATTTTAAATTGACCCAAATTTTAACAAACCATGGAAATTTTAAGAGATATTTATTTCGTTTCCATCTGCAGACCAGTGGAATTTGTGCTTGCGGTGATGCTGAACATATTCTTCTTCATTGTAGTCTGTATGCGAGTGCCCGAATGAATTTAAAGACCGATTTGAGACGTCTTTCTATTTGTTGGCCACCTGTCTTATCAGAACTGGTCAAAAGTATTGAAAGTCTTGCGGCCTTGCGGAAATTTGATTTTAATGTAAATTTGCAAATTTTTCTTCTTTTGTTTTCTACTTACAACTGTAAGCCTCATGCTATACTTTGTGGTGCATGAGGAGTTTTAAGTCGTTTAAATAAAAATAAAAAATAAATATAAAAAATAAATATAAAAAAGTGGTTTCAGATAGCTGTAATTCAGTTCAGGTTTCACTTTTAAGTGGTATGTAGTAGCGTAAGGAAGTCATGGCGTTAACTAGGAAGTCGTCATTCATATGAATGAAACTCGACTACCCATGATCTAAATGAACTGATGGGCTATTAAAAGAATTTCGGTGTTATCTAAATGATATTTCAGTTTTAAGTTTCAACAATGTTCTTTGGAAAGTATACATTCTTAAAATGAAATGAAAATTAAATTAACTTGAAAATGGTGTGCAATTTTTCTTAAATATATTTTAAAACAGAAGTGATATACTACTCTGTAAAAGTTGTTGGCGCTTCGGTAGCGCAGTTGGTTAAGGCGTAGCACACACTACTGGTTGGAGAGCTCGAGGTAGTGAGTTCGAATCTGGTGGTAGTAAATCAGCCGGTGTGTGGACGCAGAATGTGTTCGTTAAATGTGTCGTGACTGAAAGTCCACTTGTTGGTGGTGATGTGAAGAGAGGTATGTGCTGCATGTGGTGATGTCTAGAGAGGTATGTACTGATTGTGGTGATGTCTAGAGAGGTATGTGCTGGTGGTGGTGATGTCTAGAGAGGTATGTGCTGGTTGTGGTGATGGGAAGAGAGGTATGCGCTGGTTGTGATGTAGAAGTTTGTAGAGAGTAACGTGCTGGTTTTAGTTTGGAAATTCAGGGAGCTGAGAGCCACGTTAAACGTAACTATTCATTTTTCTTACGTTTGTGGCCATAGCGGTATTTTGGGCAATGAAAGAGCAGACCAATTGGCTAGGGAAGCTACGTGTGGTGAAATAGACTTAAGGGTGTCTGTTCCAGCTTCTCACTGGAAGCGCATCGCTAGAGATAAAATCATTGCGGACGTCGCCATTAAACGTCGTCAAAGTGAGCTGACAGCCACGTGTATCAATCACAATTGGTAAATTTGTTTTTTACACGTAATTATATCAGTCGGGATCATTTTTATAAAGGCTAAATGTTATTCATCGATCCATCATGACGTCAACAGAAGTGACTTTTCCGTACCAAGAAAATTACACTGACAAAAATTAAATTCATTTGCGAAAAATCACATTCCTTCGATAACAATTTTGAAGTCAATGGAGATAATTTCTTAGAACGACCAACCTCCATCACCATTTTAATGATGAACGGAGAGTGGTCACTCCGGATAGGTTTCACTGTGACAGTATTAAAATGACAGTCCGAAATACAAGATCAAAAAAAATTTTACTTTTTTTTCTCTATATTCTGCATATATTATCGACCTTGATTTCAGATGTAAAGGAGGAATTTTTGAACCTCTAGTTTTAAACGGCTCACTGTACCTTCAAATTTTCAAATGTACGGCGTATCTCTTATTGTACATTTATTTAATCACACTGTACGGCGTAAATGTTCCTCCTTTTATTTGTGTACCTTTTAATGACATTTGAGTCATACTTCACTGTTAAAAAGAGTTTCTCAAGATGGAACAAATATGTGTCTAAGTAGTTTCGAAGCTAATATAGTAAAATTTGAAAACCCATTGAGTAAAAATAACATGTTCAAAATTGAAGCGGCATATACTCATTTTTGAGCAAAATGCTTAGTTTCAAAAATGATACATTATCATCAAATGAGAAAAAATTCAAACTTTATTAACCATAAAATATTTGAAAAAGAAATCTAGTTAGATATAAGTTTACTGAACTCACCCTCATTCCAAATTTATTTCCAGAATAATGCTTTATATCGGTAAACAACACATACCTACAATCGGTAATCAATCCTACCTATTGCCGCAATGTTTATTTACCAGTAAAAACAAATTATTAGAGCTGTTTCAATTTAAAGCATGTCATTATACTCATTAATAAGTATATGGGGTTATCATCCTAAGAAAAACTTAAGGTGTTTTTGACGCTGTTTTGAGGTAGTTTTGAAGTGTTAAGTTTAACTTGAGGTTTATTTGAAGTTGACTTCCAAAATAACCTTAAAAAATTAACCTCCCGAGGAGTATAATCAAGGTACACGAAGTTCTTTTATTCGCACTTAATGTCATTAAAAATTAAGCTTAAGAAAACCAGCTTAGGAAGGTTGGTTTTGATGTGTAAATGTTATTTGTTCTACACTTCAAATAAGTATCTTTGAGGCAGGGCTAAAGAGAATAGAAGGGCTGGTTCACTCCTTTGAAGAAACTCTCGCCGCGCCATTCCTCCGATTTTCTCTAGTGACGTCACTTTGGCGCAAAGCTCGCACTTTTACTTCAAGAACAGAGCGTTCGGCCTTACTAGCTTTAACTAATATTGGAGCATTTCTTTTTGTGATATATTCTAAGACATTTGATATTTTCTATAATGACTTTCTTCAGTTTTTGCCGTGAATTTACAAAATTTTAAAACTATTAACGAAATGCCAGTTTGCGCGATTGCAACTTGCAAAAATTCTGATAGAAAAACAAAAGGAAAAAATATAATTTTCCGCGTGTTCCCTAAAGTAAATGAACAACTATGTAAAGAATGGATTCCGAAATGACACAGTTAATATAAAACAGCAATACGTTTTTTCTATCGTTAAGAACTTTTATAAAAATTCGTTATCTAAATAGAAACCGCCTCGTTACTTCAAAAAGAAAGGCATGTGAAAAAAATTAAAAAATGGATAAAGTCAAAGAAAATTAAAACGTAAGTAAAAAGTATAAATAAAATATATAGTGTACAGTTGAAATTCTCCTAATTTCATAACTTATTTTTTTAATGTAGTTATTCTAAATATTTATGATTCTTTTAAAAATTATATTCTCTTAAATTTAAATATCTATAAATTATATAATCTTAAATTTAACTATGTATAAATAATTGTAAAATTTCTAATGTCATTATGAACCTAAATTATTATTTTGTTTCAGTAATTAGCGTTTAAGGTTGATGTTTCCTAATGATTAAATATGAACAAATTGCTATTAACGGCATATTTTAAAATAGGGGATTCTAAATTTAACTCAGTTTATTGTTATAAAAGAATATGTAGATAAAAAAGTGTCGATATATGCTTTCATTTTTCTTAATAATTAAATTTAAAACTGAACTTTTTAAAATGAATTATTTATAGTGTCATTTTCGCCAACTAATAAAATATTTTTATAAGTTTAAAATGGTATTTTTTTAATATAATGGCCAAGAAAGTTTTTGTAAACTATGTTTATGAATGGAAATAATGTTTGAATTACGTAAAGTTTGAAAGCTAATAACTAGAAAAAGTCTAACTTATTTTTACAAAGAGAAAGATGCAAAGTTATCATAATATCTTTGCGTGCGATTTTCCGAGATCTGTGGACACAGTGACATCATGAGGAGGGAAATCGCTGCTTCAGCTCTAAGAGCGGAGTGAACTAGTCCTTCTATTCTCTTCAGCCCTGTCTTTGAGGTATGAATAATTTCATTCGATTTCAACTGAAAGTATTGCTGAGATATGTATGAGGGTGATTTTATGAGGTGTAAATGAGGTTGAAGTTGATGTATATTGATGAGTTGATTATTTTGGTGCATAACGTAACCTCATTTTCTACCTCAGGTGTATTTTTTACTCCTGTCAATCTTAAAAACACCTAATATGTTTGAAAAGGCAAATTCTACTAGATTTGCTTAGGAGCTCTTTTAAAAAATGTTTGATAAACTCTTTTTTTTTCTTTACATTGTGAGCTTTCATTTTTCTGGTATATTTAAACAATAATTTGTTGTCCCATAATCAGCCTAGGGAATTGGCTAGAGATGGACAAAATTCACGTAACAATTAAAAGAACGTATTACAGAATCATTACAAATTAAAAAATATCGTATCACTTGTTGAAATTCGTTGTTTTATATGACGAAAGAAAATATAATAATGATAACATACAAATAAAAATATTAATGCGCTAATAATTTAGTTTTTTTTTCAAATGAAAATAAATATGCCTATAGTATTTACATGAGATTTCACGAAATAGTGATTTCAATCTTAATGTGCTTGTAATAAAGTTCCAATCGTTTCAATTTAGCTAAGTATTTACTAAGCTACTTACCGAAAATAGAAAGGAGCAATATAATCCCATTTATAGCTGCCATCGGGTAAACCTCAAGGGCCATTTCATAGGCTATATCAACCACGTCTGTACAGTTGTTAGACATTACTAATGGAGGGACGATAAAACCTAAAGCAATGCCGAACTAAAAAAATGATAAAAACCAATAATAAGTATAATATTTTATGGTTCTTAAATGAATCAATGACTGCGCTAAGTTTAACAAATCTAAAAATATGGAAATAGACTCTAAGTATAAAAAATTTACTTTGTAATATCAGTTATGCATATGAGCGCACAAATTATGGTAGAAAGAATTCAATCCAATTACCTTGAAGATTGTGGTGTTACATATTAATTTTATTACCGGACGCACTTACAGAAAAAGAGGCCCAGCCAATAAAGATTATGGTGCAGCATATTATAATAAGTAAGGCCCGGATTTTGATGACATTTGCATTTTTTTTGCATTTTCTGCATTTTTGGACATTTTTTGTCCTTTAAAACATTTTTTGAGATTTATAGGGCATTTTCTTCAAATTTTGGGGCGTATTTTGCATTTTAAAGCATTTTTTAAATTTTTTGTTAATTTTTTCTAATTTTATTATTTTTTATAATTTTTTATTATTACACTGGCTTCCAAACAATGAAGAAAATCTCTAGGATATTAACAGGTGAAGCAACATCTTTTCAAATTGAAGAAGAATTGTCAGTAAGTGTGACCGTCCTTTTCAAGTACGCACCAATAACATCAGTAGACGTTGAAAGAAGCTTCTCCTGGTATAAAAATTTGCTTTCAGACAAGAGACGCTCGTTTACATTTCAAAATATTAAAAAAAA